AAGCCAAAAAAATGCAGGTTTTTTCTTTTTGTTTCTTGCCCAACAACTAAACACAAATATCCCAAAAGACACAAAATATTGCTTGTTTTAAGGGATTAGGTAGAAAAGATTGAATGAAGCAGACACGAGTGAAAATAACATTGTCACTAGTGTGAAAGCAGGTTTATATGGGGGAAGTGATGAGATGTCATTCAGGTCCTTTATGTGCAATGGAAATGATCATACAAATGCTATTCTACAAAAGGCATGCTGCAAATTATTTGTTCTCTAGAACATTTACCCTCCCCTGACACCACTACTATTTTCTCATTGATAAAGTGAGTGAAACGTCATGAAGTTTTGTATGTATAATTTCAAATCCTATTGTACCTGAATTATGCCTTACCAGATTTTTCTCAGGGGTGTAATTTGTAAAGCCCCCATAGAATTTCTTTCTGGCATTGACAACTGCACAGGAAATGCCCTCTGTCTGGTGCATGCATCTATCATTATATATGCAGGATATACATATTATGCATATGCATTGATTTATTTTGGAATCAATAAGTGCTTGGCTGCATTTTGCTGTGTAGAACTTTCACACAATTGTAAGTTTATGAAGTGAAAGACATTATTAGATTAAAGACACTTTGAAAAGAGACTGATATTTACTGACTTATCTGAAATTAAGGGTAGCCTTAAGTAGCTCTGAAATTTAACTCCGATGGTTTAATAAGGTCATAAATCCCCAAAGTGATATGATTCAAATGCATCTTGCACCTCTCAGTGGGCTGATAGCCCCTGCATCTGTAAAAAGTACAGCAAAGAGTGTTTGTAGGTTATTTTTGGAAATATTTTATGAAATAGAAGAATATTTTAATATCGATATTTAAAAGGAAATATGTATTATAAGTAGGACTAGGACAGTGTAGATAAATAAAAGAATGTTTCCTCAAGATCTGAGCAAATTTCAAGATTTGAAATAACAGTCCCAGCACTGAATACATTAAAATATTGGCAGAGGTCCAAGTGGCAATCAATTAGGATAGTTTAAAGGTCAATATCCTTGTGGTCTGATACCAGGTGCCTTGAAGCCTCCCTCTGTTAATGATAATAACTATGCTTTAGTGGATGGTTTCTACGTGTCACATGCTGTACTTATCAATTTATATCTGCTTCCTCATGTAATTCTTATAAACCCTAAGTAAAAGATTTCTCATCCCCATTTTACAAATAACTAAACAATGTCTCTGAGCACTTAAATGTCATGTCTAAGTTCACAGAGCCAATGAGTGATTATTAAGGCTCTCCAGAGAAACAAGAACCAACGGTTGTGTGTGTGTGTGTGTGTGTGTGTGTGTGTGTGTAGATAGGTAGATAGGGATATAGAGAGATTTATGTTAAAGAATTGACTCCAATGATTGTGGGGGTGGTAAGTGTGAAGTCTGTAGAGCAGTCTGGAAATACCAGCAGGAGTTGATGTTGTGGTATTGAGTCTGGAAGTAAAATTTCTTTCTCTTACCTAGAGGAACCTCAGTCTTTTCTCTTAAGGCCTTTTTAACTGATTGGATGAGACCCACTCATATTACGGAGTATAATCAGCTTTACTCAAAGTCTACTGATTTAAATGTCAATCACATCTAAAAAAATACCTTCAAGTAGCATCTAAACTTATATTTAATCAAACAATTGGGTACCATAAAATTAACCATCACAAAAAGACAGAGCTAGAATTTGAATGTAGGTCTATCTCATTTTCAAGTGTGTGCAGCGAGCCATTGTGTGATCCTGCTTCTCCACGTTTTCCCTCTCAGAGTTGACAATCTCAATACAGCAGTCACCTTTCAGAAAATGACTTGAAGTCCCAAGACTTTTAGTCTTCAATAAATTGGGAGGCTGCCAGGGAGAGAAGCTCAGCGATTAAGAAATGTGGAACAGACAGAAGTGAAAGTTGGGCCACCAGGAAAAGTGACAAGATTGAACTAGACAGAAACTGCTACGGACCTGGTGCCCACAGCTGGGATGTTGCCAAAGTCGGGTTCAAGAATAAGCTGTTGGTGAGTAAGAGAAACATAAGGCTGGGGAGATGGTGATTTCCTCCTGCCATTCACCCGCACCCCAAGAAAACCACAATTCAAGGAAATATTTTGACTCAGTTGAAAATAGGAGTAATGTACCATCTTTTCTTCCCTTTACAATTGTGTGTGTGTGTGCGCGTGTTATATACTGTGTGTATTTATATGTGTGTATGTTTTTGTTTCTTCTATGATATTGATTGCTAAGTAGATATCGTCTGACTCCTTTACAGATTCTCAAACTTTATGCATGGGAACCCTCCTATAAAAAGATTACTGAAATTCAAGAACAGGAATTGGAAGTTCAAGAATCAGCTGGGTGTCTTGCTGTATTTTGTATGCTGGCATTAACTTGCATTCCATTCTTGGTGAGTGCATATAGTATTTCCTGTTTTGATATTCAAATCTGACTTGCAGATCCTCTTCCAAATGACCTGGAATTTAGGTGTCCAAAGTCAAATCTACATCTGAATTAAAATTTTCAAGAAATCTAGTCATATTTATGTAGATTAGAGGATGGAAGTTTTAAAGAAAGGGAAAATATTATGTGCATTCTTATTGGTCTGTATTTTTATATATAAGATTTTACTTCGTAAATTTCTCATAGATTGAACACATGCCTTCCTAATTCTTAAAAAATGTAACCTACATTTTTAGAGTTCATTTACACTTTAAAATATCTTGATTTGTATGATTAATCCCTTTTAGGCAAGACCAAAGTCATGCTATATGGATTTGGGAAGTGAAGATTTATTGTTTCTACTGAGTACCAGACAAGTTATATACCTTGCCTTATCCCATTCTTGCAACAATAAGGCATTATGTTTCTCATTTCACAAGAGGGAATGGAAGTCCATCCTCAAAGTTATAGAGTTAGTATTTGTAGGTGCATTGCTATGAACTTAGGTCATTCTCCTTCACATCATGCATCTGAAATTCCATTTAAAGTAGATTACTTAAGGTTTGAAGCAATGTGTGGAAGCCAAAGGATAACCAAACCACATATAACTGAGACACCCATTTTAATCAACGTTACCACTCCCGGTGGTAACGGGGTCAGAGGAAGTTCCATGTCTCCCTTGTTGATAATTTTAAATATTATTATTTTTTTATTTAAACAGACTTGTAGGTATTATGAAATTAAAAGTGACATTTACATTTGGAATACTTTGGTAAAAATGTCCAAGAATCAGTTGTTTCAGCCAGTTCTATGTACATGAGAGATAATGAGTTCTCATGCATAAATGAACTTTTCTGCCTTTTCTAAAGTAAAATTATAAGAGCCAATATAAATTTTATCAGCTATGATTTATTCATGCTTTCTTCAGTTAATTTTATGACACAAGGAAAGTGTATAATTATTGCGCGTGACTTAGAATGTATGCACACACCCCTGGAAAATATATTCACACAGAAACGTCTCCATTTTGAAGAAAAAATGAACTGGTATACATTTTAAATGGGAATAATAATTCTAGTTAGAATATGACATGTCTTAAAGAAGGGAGTTGAATCACATGGTCTCAAAAAAGTCATTAAGTGTACAAAACCTTGATTTTTATTTTCTTCAGGAAGAATACTGAGTTTTGGCAAACAAAAAAAAAATGTTATTAAAATTTTCTTCCCTGATTTTTTGTACTGTAACTTATAATGTTGTTAGAGCAGTGAATATTTGAAGAAAATAACATATTCCTATTTTATAGGCATCCCTGGCAATGTTTGGCATCTATTTCTTGCTGAACAAAGGAAACATTTTAGTAGCCACTAAAGTGTTCATATCTATGCCTTTGTTTAACATTTTGAGGCTTCCTCTGCTTGATTTGCCAGTGCTGTACCAACTGTGGTCCAGGACATTCAAAGTACCCTTAAACTAAGACTCATTCCTCTCCTGAAATCTGTGGTTTTGCACATCTTCTTTGTCTTTTTTAAGAATCTCATTTCACTGTTTTTGATTGTTTAATACTGCTTTCAAAATTAATTCCCCTAAATTAATGAGTAATAAAAAACATTGTAGAATGAAAGGAATCATGTCTTCCTTGCTTATGCTTTTCTTCTATCAAAATAACTTTCAAGTATTTCAAAATATTGTATTCTTGATTAAGAGTTTCTTTCACTTAGTTTTTTAAAAGCTGATGTTNAGTCAAAATGATTCAAGACATCGAGGCAGCCATGACAGAACAACTAAACACACTCACAAAAGAGAACTTCCACAATTGCTTCAGAAAGTGGTAAGAATGACAGGATAAGTGTGTTTAAAGTGAGGGGGATTAATGACAATGTGTCTGTCATTTAGTGTAACAAATTTTATTTTATTTAAACATTCACCATATGTTTTGGTCACACCTTGTATATACACATATATGTGTATGTACATATCAAGCATATATGCATGAATATATATATATATATATATACACACATATATCGTTAATCAAGTTTTAAATGTGACTATACCTGTTCATATGAGTATGCTAGAGTAAATAAATGAAGATATATAGATATAAATGTATTTGTATAAGCATAGAAATAATCTAGAGATAAAGCACCTGTTTATTTTTATTTTTTGTTTTTAAAGAGGGCGCAGCTCAAAGTGGCCCATGTGGAGCTCGAACCGGCAACCTTGTTGTACAGAGCATGTGCTCTAACCAACTGAGCCACCTGGCCACCCTAAAGCCCCTTATTTTTAAGAATACTTACCTGTACAGTGAAATTAGATGGAAAGAGATTTTTCAATTACTTTAATACATTTATGTGCTGAGAATTTACACCTTCTTTTATATTTTTCTGAATTTTTGAAATAATTACCAAGAAGATGACAAGTCTTTAGAGTTGAGAATTAGGAAATAACATAATTATGAAATAATTATGAATTATCAAGCATACTAGTATTTAGAAGAACAGGTTTGTTTATAATTTAATGAACAAACTTAACTTTTTTTTAAATATGGATTTTAAATAATTTAAAGTCAAATTTTTATGAATGGAAATACAGTTTGGGAACATTTATCTAAAGTACTAAAACCTTCAAAGAGACTGCAATATTATGTATAAATATACTAAACAGAAAAACGCCTTTCATGAAACAAATGATAATATGGATATTAACTGTAAATATATTATTTGTTAGATATACAAATACTTATTAATGGATATAACATAATAGTGGCAACATTATTGGAGGAAAACCTTAAGAAGCCATGTCCAATCAATGGTAAGTATAAAATCACATAAATGTTATATATTAAATATTTGAATAAATATACAATAATATTACATAAAAAA